ATTTAAATGCGCCAAATTTAAATTTTCTAACCCTTATTAACAGTAGCTATAAAATAGTTTTCAGAATGTGTCTTAGACGAGAAAGTTTTAATTAAATATTAACGATAACAGTCTAAAATGTGAAACAATTGTTAAAAAACTTCAATATAAATAAGATTTCATGTGGCAGTTGGGACAAATAATAACATAACCCAACTAAATTTGATTTCTTAAACAAGGAAAGACTCTCTTTCCTTGTTTAATTTGGCCTCTCAAAACGGCACTTCCCGTCTAACAATATTTTTGCTACCACTACCGTTACATTCCCTCTTTTGTCTTTTTGTAAAGTAAAGGTTTTTCTTATTTTTGATAAATTCTTTTGCCTAGAATCCCCAACTACTTACCTTTTAGTATTTTTAATATTAGTTGGTTTTAAATTTTTTCTGTCAATATGCGAGATTTCCCTCGTGGTCTTCCTCCACTAAACTTTTTGCGGAGAGGTACTTTAGGAAATTACCGCATTTTTGGATTAACAGGAGCAGATGTCGAAGGAGAATTAATTTGGTTTTGGTTTTTAGAATACTACAAGAGCTTTCGGTCTGATTAGCTAAAGCAACACTTGAAGAGGCTACATTACATAAACGATTTAAAGTTTTACATTGAACATCTTCAATGTTCCCGGTACTTTTAGAGTGATCATTAACTGCTCTGTTGTTGTTTTCTATTGGACGATCTGAAACATAAGAGGTAAGAAATTCGGTGTCCTTAGAGTATGTCTTCATTAAGGGTGTAAAGCCCCAATACTTCAAAACGTCGAAGAACAAAAAGCTTTTGGAAATGCTTTCCCTATTAACTTTACAACATCATAAATACTAAGAGGCTGCCCTGGATGCATAAGCATCTATTCACTACAAGCTGTATTGTAATATGTTTTCATTGGCCTAAAGACAGTCCTATCAAGCGGCTGAAGCTTGTGTATAGATGGAAAGTAACCAATATTATGCCATTGTTTTGGCAACACTGAATCACTGGTATATTAACGTGAGTATCATGGTTGTCAAGAACTAAAATAACTGGATCTTCAATAAATGGTTTTACATGACATTCAAAACGCTCCAGGAACTGCAAAAAAATGATTCATTTAAACCAACCAGATGAATTGGCACCTCTACACGTGTGCATACAGGAGCTCCTTTCAACTCGATATTTATTTATATTTATTTTATACTCGATGGCGACTTCTCGTTTACTCGGAAGTGAAAATTTTCTTCTTTCTTCAAATATAAACCTAATGTGTAGTCTACGTAAAAAAACTATATAAAGAATAAATGATTACTAAATAAATTCTTCTTCCATCCATTTATGTCTTCTATATTGCATGCTCTTCTTATGTTTTCGCTTCTCTCCCTATTCAACAGACTTTTCCCAGATATTTGTAGGATTATTTTCATCTCTGCTGTTTCTAGTAGTCGTCTCGTTTTAGATGTGTCATGTCTTGTCTCCGCCGTGTATGTAAATATAGGTCTAATTGCTGCTTTATAGATTCTTGTTTTTGTGTCTTGTTCTTCCAGATTGTGTCATTAAGATATCCCGCTGCTTTAATTGCTTTTAAGCTTTGTTGTTGTACTTCTTTTTCAACAATTCCGTAACTAGTTATATCTATTCCCAGATATCTAAATTTTGCTTTCTGCTTTATTATTTTCCCATCAATTTCGATTTTACATCCTAGTGGGTATTTAGATGTTGTCATACATTTGGTTTTTTCTGCTGATATTATCATATTGTATGTCTTGACTGTTGTATTGAAGATGTGTGTTAGTCTTTGGAGCTTGTCTTCTGTCTCGGCGATTAATGCGGCATCGTCTGCATAACATAATATTTGGATTTCTTTGTTCCCCATCCTGTAATGATGACCTTTACGTACTGCTTGTATTATTTCGTCCATTATTATATTAAAGAGAAGTGGTCTTAACGAGTCACCCCGTCTGACTCCTCTTTGTACTGGTATACACTGTGTTATGTTTTCCATTCATCTTTGCCTGTATACGATTATGGAAGTAGATGTTTTCGATGGTTTGTATAATATTGATTGTTATGTTTCTTTTATACAGTAGGTGTAAGACGTCATCGACTTAAATGCGATCGAAAGCCTTTGTCAGGTCTATAAAACATAAATATGCTGGATTATTGTACTCGATGGCCTTTTCTGTTATTTATCTTAGTACAAATATGGCATCTACGCAGGATCTTCCGGATCTGAATCCTTGTTTTCAAGTTGTTAGTTTATTATAGTTATTATTATTATATATTATTATAGATATTATTTATTAGTTATAGTTAGTTATTCCGTGTGGTCTATGGACGTATAATACGTCCATGGTGTGGTCCTGGTGACTTTCTATTTTTGAGTGAATTTATGGCTATCTCTACTTCCTGAAAATTGATTTCTATTTCGTGTCTTAATTCAGGTACGTTATTGTGTTATTATTTTCCTTTCCTTTAAACAGTTTCGTCAGGTATTTTTCCCAATCGTTTGCTGGTAAGTTATTGTATTCCTTCAATTCTGCCATTTCTCTCCGTTGGTTTCTTATGCATCTCCATTTTTTTTTGTATAACGTAGAAGTCGCTTTCCATCCTCTTTGTAAACTGTTCCCAGTGTTCTTTTTACCAACTGCTTTGTTTCATTTCGTATTCTTCTATAGATGTCTCGGGATTCTGGAGTACTTGATGTTTTGTACTTCGTGTAGACCTCTCGTTTCTCTTTACATTTCTCTTTTCTTTCGTTTTTGAACCATGACGTATTGTTGTCTCTTTTTTTTTCAGTATAACTTTCCGTTTTCTTAGAGCTTCTGTTGCTGCTTCTTCAATTTTGTTTTTAATTTTCTCCCAGCTCGCGTTTGTATCTTCGATGTCGTCTATTTGTTTCAGCTATATCTTCTGTGCTAGCTTCCTTTGGTACATTTACTTGTAGAATCGTTCCACAGTGATTCTACATTGAATCTTTCCTCGGCGATTTCCTGTAGAATATGTTTGGTGTTATTTTCATTCTTATTTTTGCTAGTACTAGTTTGTGTTCACTCCCTGCGTCTGCTGAGTTTAAAGTTCGGATATTTCGAATCTGCTTTGGGTGGATTTTTTATTAGTGACTATAAAATCAATCATAGATTTGTGCTCCCTGGAGTTTTCAAATGTATTGGTCGAAAAATGTATTATTGATTCTCAGTTCGTTAAAAGCACAGAGATTAGCCATAAGTTCTCCAGTTGCGTTAATATGGATTTCATTAAATCTTTGTTTTATTCCTGGAACCATTTTATTTCCTATTCGGGCATTAAAGTCACCCATGCGAATTAAGGGTTCTCCATGAGGTATTTCATCCAGGATGGTTTGCAATTGTTCGTAGAATGCCTCTCGGTCCTACTTAGGTTTGCAGTCGTCGGGGCTATATATAGATATGACATTTAATTTTTGGTAGTACATTGTGAAGTTCATATGTATTATTCTTTCTGAGATATAACAGCAGTTATTGATGTTGTCTTTAAATTTTTTATGGACAAGTATACCTACGCCTGCTCGTTCTCGTTCTTCTTTCTTCACTCCACTGTATGCTAGAAAATATTGGTTATAGTCTCTTTGGCCTTTATCTTTCTTCTTGGTTTCTTGGATTGCACAAATGTCTATGTTTTTATTTATCAGTTCTTCTATTATCTCTTGGTGTTTGTTATTGAAAGAAGTAATGTTCCATGTTGCTAATCTGATTGTGGGCTTATTTTTCCTTCTCGTTTTCCTTTTCTTTGAGGGGTTTGTCATCTTAGGTTTCGCCTGGTTCCGAGGCTTTATATCTGTTCTATAAAGCCTCGGAACCAGGCGGAACCTAAGGATTGTTTCCTTTTACAATGGGTAGGATGCTAACCTGTCCCATCAACCCTCCTCTTTTATCCGGGTTTGGGACCAGTTAAATAAATTAAACAAACCAAAATGTATTTAAACGCTGTTTAATAAAAAGGCAGTAATCTGCATGAAATGTCATGTAATTGAAGAAACAGAATATTGTGATAACATTCGAATGTGAATTAAAAAGACAGAATTACAATAAATAAAATGACTAGGTTAAAATTTATATAAATAAACTATGTACGGACACCATATTTTCAATTACAAAACCGATTTCTTTGTCTAATGAAAACAATTATAAAAAATATAATTTTAAGATAAAAGTCGTCTACAAAAACACAATAAATAAAATACCTAATCTCTAATATAAGTACGATCCATATATCCACTGAAAACAAACAGTGTAATTTTTTGTCAGCGTCAATTGTTTAGTTTTCATATATTTATTTATCAAGAAAATTGTTTATAAATTCGTTTCTAATTTTAAATAATACACAGAAACATATTTGCTCATATAAAGAGAGATTTAGAATATGTTTAAAACTAGATCAGAATGATGTACCGCGCCAGAACCTAATATGTCTGATATCTAGGTAATGCCTGAAAGTAGTCCAGTCGAAATCTCTACAAAAATAACTTATTTGTAGTGAAGTGGAACATTTTTTTAGAAGTGTCCCCGGAGGATTGTTTATAATTATAATTTAAACATGCTCCAGATGTTATGTACATCTCCTAATAAAAGTTATGGAAGAGTTAAGAAAACTTTTATAACGAAATGTCGACTACAGACACGTTTTTCCAACGATTTTTTTGTGTACAGATCGCGTAAACAAATTACTTTTGATAGGAAATTTAATTGCCGAGCAGTTTTACTTGTTTCTTGGAAAAATAGTAGTGTCTAACGCTGATTTTTCGTTCTAAAATCCTTCGGGAGTTTTCAACAACTTTTTTAACGGGAAAACAAAAATGATCCGCTTATATAGTGAATTACAAACAGTGCAGAGTTTTTAACTTCGTCCTGTGTAAGGGAAACAAGGCTTCTTAACATATTTTGTTGTTTAGTATTGCTTTCTGCAAGCATATTATTAGTATTTTTCCTTCATGATTCTTCATAAAAAGAGTACAAAATAGTTTTAAAACATTTTTATATAAAAATAAATACTTTACTTTCTAATTGACGCTAACGAAAGAGACAAATTACAACAACACAACCACTTCTGTTAGACAACTAAATTCGTATCAATTGTTGAAGTAAATTACTCGGCAAGACTCCCTCTACTTTCTCATACAAATAATAGATTGGCATTGACATCCAACTGACCACCGATTTGGCGAAGATTCCCATCAGCTCCGGATACTGATGCGTTAGTAACGCCAGTAGAGCTGTAAAGGAACATAGTCCTGCTGTAAAGATAATAAAAAATGGAAGTTCCTTTTTTGGATAAACGGAAACCTCGTGGAATGGAGGGAGTAACTCTCTGTCGGCGCATTCTGTACATGTAGGGTATGGATAAAATAAATGGCCTTTTTCAAGAGGATATGGAAGCATCCTGAAGGTTCCTTCCCAGGTGCAGTAAAGTAAATTCAAAGCTCCTTCGACAGCTTTCCAATGAGATAAATGGAAAAATGCGTACGCTAGAGCTTCAGAATCGCCTCGTTTTAAAACGTGTTCAGGAGGTAAGATCAAGGGCTTCATTTCTAAGAGGTATTTAGGAACATGGGGATTAAACTCTACTGCTCGGTGTATCGCCTCCACGGCAGCCATTTCGGCATTATTTAAACCACGTTTACTAGCGACATCTAGCGAGAACTTATCCGCGACTAATCGAGCTTTTAACAATGCACTTGTATAGCATATGGTTGCGGATTTTGGAAGCGAGATTTCATCGTATCGCGCCAAGACTGCTTGTACGTCGGCATACGCTTGCATTTCCAATAGGGCTTCTATGAGATTCTCGTGTATGTTAAGGACGTGCATAATTGGAGGTACTTCTTTCGTTAGATCCCGAAACACTTTTACTGCTTCTTTGACTTTACCTAACTTTCTGGCACACATCGCTAGTCGGCGTCTTATATAAATGAGGACATTTGTGTCCCGCCTGTGTTGAGCTTCCATCAAGGTACCTTGATGCTGAAACAAAAAATTGAAATAAGCGTCAGCAGAAAGTCACCTTTTTTACGGAGAATACTGGTCAAAAATACTAAATAGCATTGATATAATATAATACAAGGTAGAAATAAATAACAGTGAATACATTGAATATAAGTAAATAGTAAAGGGGCTATATTATTTCGATTCAATAAGGAGTCATTCAAGTATTAAGTAAAGCAATTTAGGGGGTGGGGGTTATATAAAACGTTACGGTGCATCACAGGGGCGGGAGTAGAGGTTCGAACAACGCGTTACGTAACATTGTTTTTACTTAAATAAAAAACTATGGAATTAAAACCTCCAAGTTGGTAATCCTTTTCGTTTATGATTTACGGGAATCCCTCGATTGTATTGTACAATATTGTATTCTGTTCTTTTTGTAATGACTGTATTGTACGTCCTTATTTTGTTTTCGTTGACAGTAATAAACAGAAACATATTGCAGTTGTTTTCTTCTTCTTCTTCGTCCTGTGTATAAGCAATTCTCCTTGTTCATTGGTGGATTAATATCTCTACGGTTATGTGATTATAGGTTGTCACTCCATCTTTTGCGCGGTCGTCCGATATTTCTGCCGATTGGTGACTTATCTCTTGCTATTTTGACACGGGTTTCCCCCATTCTGCTTATGTGGTTAGTCCATTTTTTTTCTATTTTGTGTCTATTAGTTTATATACTCTATGTTACATTTTCTTCTAAGGTCTTCACTTCTCTTTCGATCTCTCAGCGTAATCGATTGCTGTAGTCACTGTTGTTAAATTTAATTCATACTGTCTCTCGATGAGTGCATTGAAATCTGTCTTTCCGAATTTCCTGCAACCAGCCTGCCCAATCCTCTAAATTTCAAGCAAGCTGGTGGTACCTAGTCAGGTAGATAAAAGATCATGTAAGTTTTCACCACTTCTTGTGATTTCTTTTGTCCATTGCGATCTCAAGAACAGAATATGTGCAACCAGTAGGATCTATTTCACATCTTACAATAGTGCATCCCAAAGCGGCTTGCTGCAAAAAACACAAATAAGCTTATCTGCATTGTGCGCTACAATGAAACATCGTCTGAGGATACCGATTGGCTCGACGAGGATGAAATTAATCCAAGTGGTTTAGTAATTCCAGAACCGTCTTCATCTGCTCTCCTGAAAGAATCTGAGTGGCTTGCAAACCCATGGACAGAGAAGTAGTAATTCCAAGTTGATTGTTTTTTCCATAGCCACATCTTCTTCCATTCTTATAAACAAAAGATTTAGAAACTCCATAACTAGAATTACGACATATCTCGTAGAATACATATTAAATCTGAAGAGCGGACAAAAAGATACGACGAATACCGATTAATTAGACTGATGAGCCACACATTGAAAAGATTTTTTTCGAATTATTCATTACGAAAGAGACCTAGAAGAAACCCAGTTTGGATTTAGGTGAAAACCACAGACCTGCGCTTTATTAGGGTTTGGTTTTAGTTGATTATGTTTATATGTTTCAAATGCTTTAGTTGGCGTCGATTCTAGCTCTTTAAAGCTGTAGACATGAGCAACAAGTACGAGGTGGTCCTTGTATACATAGATTTGTGTATTTTGTGGGAGAGAGTGGTCGTTGGTATAAATATTAAATAGTAGTTGGAGCGACGCTCCCCTCTAATAAACCATTTTTTTGGATTCGCCAATAACTGTATTCGTCCTGAAAATCCATAAAATACTAAAAAAAGTTCTGGATAAGTTGATATTATTTGTGTGAGGAAGAAGTCTTTTGATAGGGTATGCATTTTCCTTAGAAGGATATATGCTGTGTAAGGTGAAGAGCTTGGCCAGTACAGCTTTTCCTCGAGAAGATGATTCGTTCCAGAATTTTATATGGCATAATTGATGTGGCAAAGCAGATAAAATATATTGGTCTGTAGCTTTTAGGGCCGGAAGGGTTTTTGCCAGATTTGAGAATGGCTATAATGTGCGCTTTTCTTCAAATCTTCGGGATCTTCTATGATTTTTTTTGACACTTATGTCATCGAAACCTGCAGCTTTTATATTGTAACATTTTTGGATTGCTAGTTCAGATATTGCAATACATGGTATTGGGAAAAAGGTGGTTCAGAAATTTTATGGTGGTATGGGGTTTTGGTAAAGTGTATTTCTCTTAACCATTCATCGGCAGTTGGTGTGCTATATGATTGGCTGTTACATTTGAGGGGCCTCTGTTCTTCGTAGGGTTGTTACTTAGCTTTTTCAATAGGGTTGATGCCTCGATGCTGCTTTTGGACCATCGAGCAAAAAGACAGAAGAGTGAATGGAAAGGTAGTGGGAGCAAAAATATTGTTAGACGGGAAGTGCCATTTTGAGAGGCCACATTAAACAAGAAAAGAGAGTCTTTTCTTGTTTAAGAAATCAAATTTAGTTGGGTTATGGTATTTTTTGTTCCAACTGTCACATGAAAGCTTATTTATACTGAGGTTTTTTAACAATTGTGTCACATTTTAGACTATTATCTTTATTGTTTGATTAAAACTTGATTTTATCAGTTAAAATTAACAATAATTCTCGTCTAAGAAACATTCTGAAAAATATTTTATAGCTACTGTTTTATGAACTTATAAAAAAACATGAAATATTTTCTTAATTCAAACAGTCATTATATTAAAATTTTCAAACTTTGTACTAATTCAATTAGATAAATTAGAACCCCTACACCACTGTATTATTATTGTGAAGTGTCATAAAATTTAAATTTGGTGCCTTTGCATTTCCGAATATGTCCGCCATATTAAGAGGTCACTTTTATGAATTTTGGTTTGATGATTATACTCCCTCTTTTGTCTTTTTGATCGATGTTTTGGATATATCAGTTTCTGCTATGGTTTCTAAACATTGCTTTTTTTGGCTCCTGATACGGGCTGTCTCCCGTTATTATAGTTATTCATAATCTCGCTGTTATAGTCTTTTCATTGAAGTGGTCTTGGATATAGTTGTTTAGATGGCTGAATAGTTAATATGCTAATCCTCATATGAAGTCATTTCTACAGTCTCTAGATATGGAAAGAGGAGAGGATTGTTCAATAACATTGGTAAATGTATCATAGCTTTTTGCTGTCGGGGTATGTTGATGACTTCATGATTGCCGAATCAACAACAATCCACATTCTAGAAGTAGTATCTCCTTCTAAACCTACCATTTGTGGTTGTACTGCTGCTGTGATCTTGCACATGATGGGAGGGTATTGGATTTTGGGTATTGATGTACAAACTGATTTGTAGCATTGTAGGGAAAGATGTTTAAATAATTACACAAGTGTGTAATGCTATAATGTTTTTATAATATTATAACTAAAAGCTTTAACACAAAATGCATTTTTTCTATAATTCTGACCCCCTGCTAGAATTTCTTAAATTTTGTGACCCCCCGTTAAAAAAGTTTGCCCACCACCAGTCTATACAGCTATAGGTGTATTTAGCCACTCTATTATTCTGTTCACTACCCCTATAGATGTAATCAATAATAAATACATTAATAATATAAATTTGGAAGTGATGAGAATGAATGAAATAAGATACTATTTACTATTATGTTACAAGTACCCCAGTTGTGTGATGTCACCAATTATTATTGACACACTAAAACTAGCTACAAACAAATGACATAACATAAAAATGGACTACAAACATATTGGGTAATATTCTCACCTGTAAGGCTTGTGACCTTCTGTAATTAGCTTCAGCCACTCTCAGAGCTTGCCTTAGAATTCTCTCTGCTTCAGTTATAGTTGTCGCCTCTTCTTCTGCTAACAGAATATATGCTGGAGCACATTCAGAGTTTTTTTCAAGGGCACTGTGGGCTGCTTTCAACCTGACTGAAGGATTTCTTTCTCTCCAAGCTGTCTGCATTATTTCATATTCTGCTTTACCTAAAGCACCACATTATTGTAATTAATCAGCAATAATCATTCTTTACTGTATATTTGTAAAAATATGTCACTATTATTTCTACCTTACTTCATTATTATTACTTCATATTATCAATTCAATTCTATCTGAGTAGACTCTGAGTGGACTGTATAAAAATGCAAGACGATCAAGTATTTGTTCACCAATAGTAGCAATAGAATTGTTGAAAATCATATTGTCTGGGATTTTATTAGATATTCTTTTATTTATGGATTTCCAGACATTAAATTTGCTAGGGAGATAATCCCCTATGAATTATAATTTATATACTACAATATACTCCCTCTATAACGAATACAGTTATTACGAGGTTTCACTTATAGAGAGGTACATTAGATGTCCCATTTTAACTGCCTCCAATAAACTTAACTACCGCCCACAGTAAACTTCTTTGCAATACAACTGTTTCACATCTTAAGAAAATATAATATAGAGTAATACTGGACAATTTAAAACAGTCAAAAATGACAAACTTCTTTCAAGTGCAGAAGCAATAATTTATGTCCTTTAAAATACGCTTTATATATTATGTAGTTGGAAAAAAATGTAAGTACAGATTTTTTGTTTTAACATATATCATTGACAATAAAAGTAAACAACTTTATTTCAAAAACGCTATTGGAACAATATTTATTAGCATCTTATATTGCTCTGAATGGCTTCACTATAGGAAGTTAATGTTTTAGAAAACTACATATTCATATGTATGCACAGTATTATTGTTGTCTGATATAACTAGATCAGCTTATAACAAGGTAATTAGTCTGCCATTTCAGTTTTTGTTATAGAGGGAGTCTACTATATTAACCTATTACATTGAGCTCTTATTACACTATAAAAAAATAAGGAGAAAATCTAGATCATTTAGATTTTTTCCAATGTACAAAATATTAGATTCCATAATTTAAATATTTGAATTCCAAATTGAGATAATAGTAAAATCTTTTAAACAAAAAACTGTCTACAATAATTTTCCACCTGCATTATGGAGCAGTACTCTTTAATAACATAAGAGCACCAGCTATATGTATATTCTTGTCAACATAATATTTTTCAGTTTAATTAATTTCACCTTCCTTTAACTTTGTTCTGAAGCTATTTTCTTGTGGCTTTGTATATTAATTACTATTTATAACTGGGAATAAACCACAATTAAAGATAAAAATACGTTTATTGACGTTTCAATTTCCAATTCGGAAATCGTTCTCAAAATACAAACAGTAAATTAAACAAATTTTGTTTTTTGTTACATAGTGAAAAAATTCTTCTAATAATTTAATTTAATCTGACTCATTTATATTGACAATTCAGACATACATTATGCATTTTAAAGTAGACGACTTTAAAATGATATTGCCAATATTGTTGAGTTGCGCTCCTGGGACGACTTTACTTATAAGATAGTTCATTCGATTACATGAAATCAACTTTAACTTGAGAATATCCGTCAGAAAAAATCACAGCATGTAATTCGTCTTTAAAAAGACAAACACATGACATGATGACAGTAAAATTCTCCTGTTAGTGATTCCATAGTAAATTATGAGGGAAAAACCAGGAAAAAAACCTCATAATACTATCCCGACATTGTAAGTATTTGTTCGTGAATTTAGTTTACCTTCAACAAACATCAAAAATTCTGATTTTATATGTTACGTTATTTAAAAAACATAAATAATGTATCCTTTATATGTTATTGACTTACTAATACTGGTATTTTCTTATTAATAACTTCCTCTTTCAATATAATAGGATCTGGTTACCAATATTGAAAGAGGAAGTTATTAATAAGAAAATACCAGTATTAGTAAGTCAATAACATATAAAGGATACATTATTTATGTTTTTTAAATAACGTAACATATAAAATCAGAATTTTTGATGTTTGTTGAAGGTAAACTAAATTCACGAACAAATACTTACAATGTCGGGATAGTATTATGAGGTTTTTTTCCTGGTTTTTCCCTCATAATTTACTATGGAATCACTAACAGGAGAATTTTACTGTCATCATGTCATGTGTTTGTCTTTTTAAAGACGAATTACATGCTGTGATTTTTTCTGACGGATATTCTCAAGTTAAAGTTGATTTCATGTAATCGAATGAACTATCTTATAAGTAAAGTCGTCCCAGGAGCGCAACTCAACAATATTGGCAATATCATTTTAAAGTCGTCTACTTTAAAATGCATAATGTATGTCTGAATTGTCAATATAAATGAGTCAGATTAAATTAAATTATTAGAAGAATTTTTTCACTATGTAACAAAAAACAAAATTTGTTTAATTTACTGTTTGTATTTTGAGAACGATTTCCGAATTGGAAATTGAAACGTCAATAAACGTATTTTTATCTTTAATTGTGGTTTATTCCCAGTTATAAATAGTAATTCCTTTAACTTGATGGAGTACTTTATACTCGGAAAATAACTTCCAAATATGATTAAGTAAAGAAAACAAAAAACTATGTGATGAGCACTCCATAATGACATCATAAAACACTTTAAAACATACACACATATTGTGAATATCTTTCTGTTAAAAAAATTTAAAGCTTTAGTTACCTGCATCTGCTTCACATGTGAAAAATGTTTGATGATCTTGTGCAGACAGATTCATATCATAGTATGTGAGTGGCTCCTTATTAGTGGCCCAAAAAAATCTCTGATATTCTGCCCCACGATATAAATTTAGTGGATTCCTCCATACTTTACACTCCGGTACCTGAGGCTGAACATTAGTTGGGCTTCCATTTGTTGAGTTACTGCTTTCTAATGAAAAATTAAACATTGTTATTACAATGAAAAAGTAACACTAACAAAAACAGTATTACCATAGTCACCGCTGATCCATGGACTAATATGATTTATTGATACTTGTTCAATAAATGATGTACCATATTTTCGAAAATACCACCATTCAAATATTAGAATAAGACCTGAGATAAGAGATGATGTACCAGTTAAAGCTACATAAAACTTTGGAGTTAAAGTACTCAAAAACATAGTGGAATCCCACATTTTTGGAAAATTAGGTTTAATTTATTTTCGAATTAGGTATCATTCATCAATATGTTTTAGTTCCTGTGGGTTTAAAATTTGATAGGTTTTGTAATCAAAAATGAAATATTTTTCCAAATTGACAATGACAAACGTCAATATATTTAGTCTGCAGGATACTCAACAGAAGTCAATTTTGACAGATACATTTTGGCCAACTAATAAAAATAACACAGGTGACCACAAAAACCTTAATTTTTCCAACGGAATGTCTAGTTGTGGCTTTGTGTGTGAACAGAATATTTTACACTATAATTTTATAATATTAATTGTATAACATGGAATTACATTTTGATTAAACTAAAATAGTCATATAAAAATATTCATTTCCATTTATATATCACTACATGTGGTTAGTTAGTCACTCCTGGTTTGACTGAAAGCATTTTGAAGCAACGGGAAAGTTAGTCCACATCATTAGTTAGGTTATGTCAAAAAACGTCATCACGGAAAGTCCACATAATCTTTTCCATGTAGATATATCTTTTTAAAAGTTTATAGGTGCAAAATATGATAGTCACTACACATTGAATTATAGTCTAATTACCGATAGGACATTATTAACACTACTAGAAAAAATGAGGTATTGGGTATTTATTCTAAGTTTAGGTCTTTTCCAATTTTCATTAGGAACAGAATTAACATTCGAACTGCCCGATAGTGCCAAAGAATGCTTTCACGAGGAAATTAAAAAGAATACAAGTTGTACGTTAGAATATCAGGTAAGAACATAATTTTGTATATCTAGTTTAAGTGATATGTTTACAATGTTCATCCTAAAACTCTTGTAGTTTTTAGTAAGACAATGTCACATCAATCACAAGTCAAAGATTGTCCCTTATATTTCTAAATAAATCAAAAATTTATTTAGAAATGTAAATTATGTTTTGTAAACATTGTCAGTTGATAATCAAAGTAGATCCTATTAGGTAATATTATATCTGAGAGCCTACTTAATGGTTTATGTAAAATAATTCTCATGGATGAAACAATTTGAGCAAATTCTAATTGTATAGGAATAGTATTCAGATCTATTAGTAATTGAAGATTGAGCACATCATTACTAGATATACAAATTGAAATAAAACTCTAGTAGGTCTTTAATTACACTATCTGTGGACAACATGAAGTTGTTTTTATTCATAATTAGGTATTTTATAATTAAGTTGCTCCAGAAATAATTGTACAAGTATTTTCATATAGAGAGATAATGAAGACTCAGTAGAAAAAATAAGAATCTTAATAATAAAATAAATATACTAAATAATTCAATAAACTCAGTATTTTATAGACACTTATAATATAGTATAAAAATTATATTTGTTATAAGTTTGCATGCAAGAGACTATTTCAACTACTACTAATACTACTCACATAAATTGATTCTTTGAAGCAGTTTCTAAGAATGACATGAATGAAATATAATTCCAGATTGATTAATATATGCAAATAAGACAACTACAATTACAAAATATTACAGTAATAATATTAAAATCATTTATACAAGCAAGGTATTTAGCTCAATGTTATGAAACAAGTATGATAAGAGTGATACAAAATATTGGGAAATAAAAATAAAATTGAATGTCAAAGCCTATCATATGAAGGAAATTTAATGCACAAAACCTAATAAAACTGTTAATAAAATTTATCTATTTGTTTACTAATTCTACAGAATTTATTATTCCATTTATCTCTTTTCTTCAGTTTAGATCTTCAGCCTACTGTTAAAATCAATTACTCATTAGGACTGTTTTAGTGATTTATTCCTGCAATGTCTCAAAGGTTCATTCTACATTATTGGGCTGTGTTATAGTATTCCGATTTTCTTACCATAATTGTGACTATTGTTCTGAAGTTATCTTCTTGCTACATTTTGATATTATTTACCTGATTTTTAAAGAAAATTAACTATAATTTCATTTGAAAACATGTGGTTTGATTTGAACATTTTGATTTCCAATCCAGAAATTGTTCTTTTAATGAAAAATTCTGTTTTGTTACTTAAGTAATACAGAAAAAAGTCATTTAATATTTTAATTTTATCTGCCTTATTCATATTGACAATTCAGAATTAAGTATATTATACATTTTAAAGTAGTTGACTTTATGATATTGTCAAGATTTTTGAGGAACATTACAAGGATGACTGTATTGGAGAATAGGTCATTCTATTACATGAAATTAACTTTAACTTGGGGATACCTGTAAAACAAATCATATCATTTGATTTGATTTTAAAAAGATAACCAAACTCAATCATGAGAATAAAAAATTTTACTAGTAAAAACCCGAAGATGTAAAATTAGGTGTGTTCATATTTTTCACTGAAGATTTTTCATCTGTTTTAGTCCACTTATTTTTATTATTTTATTTATATTATACTTCCACTTAGTGCTACAGATTAATATTTATGAATATTTCTTTATTTAAAAACCTTCAATAGAATCAATCTAAATAAAATATAGAATCTGGGAATTTTACACAATTTTCTATAGTGTCAAGTAAGATTATAGTATATAATCTTACTTAATACAATATAATATAATAATATTCCCATTTGTTCAAATGTCAGACAATGGGAAATTCCAGGTGCTATTTGGTATAATTATGTTGTGGCAGTACCTATTCACTGAGTTTTATTAGAACTTGATAGAATTATGTTTGTTGGCCTTGAATTTATTTTTAATAATCATTAAAAATAAATGATTGCTATTCAATTAATATTTAACTCATAAGTTGTGAATATTGTTTTTGTTAAAAATATAATCTAGGAATGCATAACTTTATTTATTTAGTGATTGCAATTTAATGTTATATTTGAAAATTTTATATTCAAATGTTTTTTAAGAGACATATTCCAATTATCATTATAATAATGACAAGTATGTATGTAATTATGGTGAAGAGACACCTTGACCTATTAGACCTCTTGCCATCTCTCTTTTTACTACTAATGAACAAACCATGAATGACAATTTGAGAATGGATATATATATATATATATATATATATATATATATATATATATATATATATATAATATACTTGTTTATTTTTAATAATTTCGCATAGCCTGCTTTTCTAAAGATGTTTCAAAACTTAGTAGACCTCGTAAATATGCATGCCTGAAAAAATAAATGGACCCTAAAACATTTACCATTTTAATTTCGTAGGAAATTAGGTGACAGGATAGGATTTGCATGTGCTAATGATGTCGAGTATTTCCAATAAACATGACATATTATGCTTCTCTAATCTTAAACTTTCCAGTTAGTAATGGCATTTTTATTTTATTTCACATTGAAAGATGTAATAAAAATTTACGACTGCCCGTCTTCACTGCTGATAAGAATTGCTGTGTAAAAATGCAAAATATTTACATTAAACTAATTTGGTTTATAAATAAACCTTTTAAGAACTGAAAAAATCTAGAGGACAAATAAATAAATAGCAAATCAATGTATGATAAAAAAATAATATGATTTTGGTTTTAAATTCAGCAAAATATGTTTATACAAAACGAAAACCTCGAATTCCTTGGGAAAAATATTCCCATGAGATTTTTGCATAAACACTTTCATAAAATACTGCAGAATAATGTTCAAGAGGTCGCTTATACAAAAAGTGGTTTTAATTTATTAAACAGTTTTGTATAAATCCATTTTTAGGTTGTGATAAGGGCCTCAAACAACTAAAAACAAAGTTTTTAAATTAAATACTCCCAGACTAAGTATCAGAAACTGATAGAACAAGGTTTGGCGAATTCAAAAATAATTGTGTTTTTTTGAGCCTTCAGTCATCATTTTTCGTTGTTTTTTCAGTCTTAAATTATTTATGAGTTAAAAATGATCAGTTTTAGAGAAAAATTACAATTAACCATTTTTATTCAGATTGATCCAAAAAATGATAAAATATTAAAAACGATTATTCACAAAAAAAATATTAAAGCTTTTTCACTAACGCAAAAACTAGTTCGTCTCTGTCTTGCTACGATGCATTGAAGAGAACTGCATGTTTTTAGCAATGCCTGATATTATTGTTTCATTCATAGATCGACATCACTGAATGATTACTTCATGTCCACAACATTATGAATTATCTCTACCACAATAATTAATTTTTAATCTTCTCATTTCTCAAAGATCTTGCCAGTATGTGTTGTTTCTTAAAATCCACTTGTTTTTAAAGTTTTTCAGTAACCTGCTGAGGACATCACAGAAGTATTTAGATTCAATGACTAATATTTCCTGTAGTAAAACTATAACATAAATATTTATTTATAGTAGATATTCTAGTAGTGATTATGCAGTAGAAGTGATATTAATTGCATTAAATGTACCCAACACATGTATCAAACACTGGCATGTAAAAAAGAAAATATCATACAAATGGTGGTCTTCATTTTAAGAGAATATAATACTTGAGGAAGTGACAAAATTAGTGTCTTTAAGAGCCTATTTCTGGCTTTGTGAAATATTAGCATAGTAAGTATTGCTTAAGTTATACAGAAGTAAAAATAAAAGTCGTAAAAAACCTAAACTAGAACCTGATAAAATTAAGACATTAAAGAAATATAAAATATGTTGAAGAAATGTAGGAAAATTTCAAAGAAGCTCTTACATCAGACATCACTTAACATATTGAACAATCCCACTCCAGTTGTTAAGAAAGAGTGGATGGACCAAGAAATTGTGAAAGAAGAGTCATACAAAGCGAAAAACAATGGAAAATGTAAAAAGCACTAAGTATTGATTAAAAAAACAAAATTAAAGACGTAAAAGAAAATTATATGCTTCAAAATCGAGGAACTGGAGAGAAAACATGATTATTTCAATGATCGCAAAGAATTTACAGGTATCAGAAGTAAAACACAATGAGGATCCAAAGTGTATTCATTGAACTTATACGAGTTTTGGATTAAGTAAACTGACTAAGTAAAAACAATATTTAGGTTAATGCTTTGTGTGGGTAGTGGCAATTGACAATTCAAGGAAAGAGACAGCTTTACATATAACATAACTATGAAATTGGTTATGATAAACTCGAAAAAATGGTAATTATCTTCAAATTTATTCAGAAAAAAACAAATGTGTATAAAAATAGTTCAATTTCAAGAAACAATTAAAATAACATTTAGTCCACAATAACACCCATATCACATACACTTGTACATGTAGAGCAGTAGATGAAGTCATTTTATTAGTGAAATGAAATTTTTCATCTTCCAGTTGAATGTATCGTTTCAAATTGTTAACATATATTGTTAATTTTGTGAAAATATGTTCATACTATATGAAAATATGTTCATTTTACTGACAATGTCATGTTTTAGATGTAGATACTCTAATTTGCAATTTACATAAGTACCTACTTTATTGTGGAAAAAACGTAGTCATTCTTTTAAATCAGTAACATCTGTACACCAACGCTTGTGCGACGCTTTAGGAATTAGCGAAACAAAATTAAAATCTGTAATAAAAAATGAGAGTAGTGAACTACTCTCGCCCATCACTCAAAACAAACAATATGTGGGAAGGGCAAACATTTGAAATTCGTAGTACAATATATAAAATGTGTGCAAGTAAGGAACATGTGCCTTCGGATACAATTTTGTTTAAATTGAAAAGGGGAATTTGGTGATGTTGGCAAAATAAATTTAATTTTAAAAATTTTAATTCAAATTTAAGAAAAGAGGTGAGAGAAGCTTTTTGTGAAAAAAGTTCTCTCGTATAAAGGGGAATTGAGTTTCTAGAAAATATACCAATTCCAAGAAGAAGAGCCAACTTTTATATATTTAGATGAAACATGGATATTTTCTAAGGGAGCAACCAAGAGAATATGGTAATATTATTCTGAACATATGAAGGAAGACCAGCTAGAAGGAAGGAGCTGTTATAATATTTTCATTTACAAAAAAAACGGTGATTATCATGACAATATGAACATGGCAATGTTTGTGTTGAAAACTTCTCTCCAGATTAAGTGAGCCCAGCGTTATTGTTTTATACAATGCGCCTTACCATTCCAAAATATTAATCAAAAGTCCAACAAATTCATGTAATGTAGATAAAATTAAAGAATAGTTGACAAATGACTGTATATATATTGCACAGCATGTATTAAAATTCGAATTATTAAGTGTGAAAGAACAACATTCAATACCAAAAGTCTTTCTGATTGATCAGATTACGGAAGTTACAGTCATCAAGTTTTACATCTTCCATTATACCACTGCCAGTTTAGTCTTATCGAATGTATATATATGGGGAATAACAACACAATATTATGACAACCATGTTGGGCCTAATAGTTATATTGAAGAAGCGATTTGTGGAACTTGGCGGAAAGCAATTTCAATTTTAACTCCAGAAGTATAGCGGAACTGTATAAGTGCTAAAGATTAATTGATTATTTGTGGATTCATGAAAATAAATGACTTTTTTTTCATCATTTCAGTGAGTGTGATTTATTTGAAATCGAAACTATGTTGTAATTACATTTTTAAATAAAAAATAAAATAATTCTTTAAATAAAAATAAAAAAAATACATTGCAGGCCAGAAGAACAATGAAATATTTTGAAATGCATATAGTGTTTAAAAGGGAAAGATTAAAAAATGGTGTTCATTAGTGTTTATGCATTGAATTGCCTTAATAAACATCGTTAAAAACATTTATAAGCCAAAAATAAATCCAGACAGTTAATTGGAAATTTTACACGTAAAAATATCTGCATATTTATTAAAGCTTGCATACACAATACTACTTTATAAAATTCAAATGAATAATAAGCAGTATTTAGTGTAAAGAATTATTTACCACCTTATCAGCTTTAGATTAAGTAGTAAGTCGTTTCTTATCAGAGAAAGGATTATTTAAATAAATTTAAAAATTTCATGTATTTTGCCCGCTGCGCTGTGAGGGACGTTCTAGGGGGAAGATCGGGGTAGGAGTAGCAAACTTGTTTGATTCTTTTTGAGGTCCCAAAATTGACATTGTCGCAAAATTCAGCTTGTTTGAATGATTTTTAGAGGCCAAATCTCTGACGACTGGACTATATTGCAAAACAACTGCCCCTTATTTTGTAGAAATTGTAGAATATTTCTGTCGATAATTTTCGGGGATATTTGTTCAGTGTTTAACACTTTCGCTGCGCGTGACTCCGATCGGAGTCAAAGTGGTCCTTTACTAGGTGCGCATGACTCCGATTGGGGACAGTAACCCGTTGATTTTTAAGACAGTATATTTTACTTAGTACGATGCCGACGTTAGTTAATGTTTTTCAGGGTGTGAGTGTGGACTTAAAAGTGTCAAAAATGTTTACCAGTTCTTTGCTGTGGTAGTTTCGTGATTCAAAATGGCGAAAAGTATGCCGAGCCCTTCAAAGTGTGAAAAACAAGAAACATTCCTGCCTCCAGACATAGTAGTTCCAAAGTTCTTATGGTTAATAAGGGACCAACAAAGAGAAAGCGTTGCAAAATACGCTTCGAAAACAAACTTAGAAAGCAGAAAACATATCACTACAAAAAATATCCTGATCAACCCGGATTTTGTGTTGAAGGCTTTGAAATTGCTCATACGTGAATTAAAATCAAGTCGATATGTGAATCTTTCTGTGATTTATAGAATAAATAAATTCCGGTATATAATTATTTTTCTAGAAAAACATTTTAATTTGTCTTGTGCCGATCGGAGCCAGTCAGCGATACACTAGAAATTCTTAGTCAGGTGCGCATGACTGCCATCGAGTCAAAAATGCAAACCACATTTTATAAATATACACTTTATTTAATTAAATTAATAATATTATACAGTGATGAGTGCCTTACCACCCGGCTTTTTAACTTAAGAGATAGAAAACACAGTTACCTTGTGAAATAAAAAGAGATGAAACTCGTAGAGGTGGGAAATAATCGACAGAAACCTATAATTTACATTACATTGCATTACCACTATCGATAGTCTCACACCTTTAGACGTTCGACGTGGCTATTTGACTTCAGTCATAATTATACGGATAAGCTCGAAAATATTTTATTTTAATAATTTCTGATGTTAGAATAAATAATTGAATCAATTGAGATATATTATAGTAAAAAACATTAATTAGTATCGATTTTAAATTATAAATCTTTAAGTTTATTTAATAATAAAAATAACTGAAATATTTGACTAAAATAAAGGTAGGTATGTTCTGTCCGAAAACAATTAATGTATGTGGAATTGGTGTAATAGTTAGAGACGTGGTCTGTTGACAAGAAGATTGGGGTTCAATTCACACCCAAGGATAAAATTTTTGTTTTATCAATCAAAAAATAATAGAATGATACATATTAGGTAACAAGTTTTCGAAAAACTCATTATTTACAATTTATTCTTATTCTAATGTTATAGAACGGAAATACAAAATAATTCAAATTCAATTCCAGTTTTACTGTCTTCAGTTGGGAATGCAAAATAATCCGGTGAAGACTGTTTATGTCAAATCCATCACTAAATTCTCAGTGTTAATATCAATTCCTCTGTACAGATAATGATTTTCAAAACAATTGACAATTGTAAATACGTTTATTTACAATATTTTTTTCTTTTTATAGAATTTTTACTTACTTAAACTTTCTTTAAACGTTCTTTCAATTTTGAAGAATTTTTACTTTATTTTTGAAAGTACGACGACACTTTTTTAAATAAGATATTTATGTTTAACTTTAAACACATCTAATTATTAAAAAAAAAAGAAAACACATGTGGGTTTTGAACTCCAATCATCTGCATCGCAGTGTCGAATTCTTACCAATAATCCACGAAGGATTGATAATTATTCCGTGACAAGAGTGTATGAAACTCCTCAAGTCATAGTAGAAATTATTCTTGGTTAATAATTTAAAACTTTAGGTTAAATAATCACTATTAATTAAATTATTTTATTCACATTTTTGCTTTGTTGTGGTCAATTAGTTTTTACTTTTGCGAAATTAAAAAATGGAAATACGTCACACATACGACGTCAAACATAATAATTATGACCGAGGTGATTTAGCTCGAAGCTAACGTCTAAATGTGTGAGACTATCGATAGTGGTAATGTAATGTAAATTATAGGTTTCTATCGATTATTTCCCACCTTTACGAGATTCATCTCTTTTTATTTCACAAGGTAACTGTGTTTTCTATTTCTTACGTTAAAAAGCCGGGTGATAAGGCACTCATCACTGTATATTCTAATCTCAGTTACAATGATATTTTAGAAAAAAGTTATTGCCGCTCTTGGGTAAAACCTCTCGAAAAAAGTCAGCAGCGAATGTGTTAAAGACTATTAATTCTTTGTTGTCGGTATTTGACAATCCTAACTCTTTTTATAATTTGTATGGACAATTGTAGGTCGAACTATTCATGAACATATTTTATTTATGTTTTGATCATTTGGTCATATTACAAAAAAAAAAGAATTATATGTAGTCTTTTATATATGCTGTTTTTGTTAAAAACCAGTCTAGTAGTGTCGAATAAAACGCAACAAAATATTGTTATAAATATTTTCTTGTTTTAGGTTGTAACTGGAGGAAATTATGACGTAGATGTAGCTTTAGAAGATCCCAAAGGCAATATATTATATAAACAAGTCAAAATGCAGTTTGACTCACACACTTTTGTATCTCAGGACCATGGTATCTACAAAGTATGCTTCAGCAATGAATTCTCCACTTTTTCACATAAACTTGTATATATGGATTTCCAAGTTGGAGAGGAGCAACCCTTACCTGGAATTGGTGAACATGCCACTGTTTTAACGCAGGTGAGTTATGGTATTTATTTTGTCCACAATTATTTATGTGTATACACATTTCATTAGATTTCACACATTATTTATTAGACATATATACTATATATTGCTATAAAATACTAAGGCTAACCATTATAACTAAGATATCCATTTTTTCATACATACAATACTTTTTGCGGATTTTATAACCAATATAATGCTCCTTGCCGATTTTATAACAAACCTTGTTTCTTCTAAAGGATATTTTATATACCGAAAAAACAAAAATCATGTTAACACCATAATTGTGAAAACATCTGCTGAACAACTACAACTATTAACAGCTAACTACCTTCTGTGAAAAATATGAACTAAAGATGAATATAAGAAAGACTAAATATAATAATGATATATTATAATAATGATAAATAAAACAGTCATGCAAAGAGACATTTGGGAGATGTATTTACAGAAAGAGTTGAAAAATACAAATACCTGGGAACCTGGACTTCAGAAAATAATGAAACGCAGAACTTACATTAGAACTGAGGTTAACAATCTATCTAAGGTTAACAATCTGATCTAAGGTCAGAGATGTTATGTATTTTCAGTATAGACTAGGCGGGATCTGTAAAAATTCAGACCATAATGGACATTTTCCATAGCAAGCTATTTTTTTGCTGGAATCCCTTCAGAATGGGCCCAATATCGATAATCACGATATGCGCCAGTCGCAAACCTTGTGCTAAACTTTTTATTTAACAAAATCTGAAAACAATAGAAAATTTCTCATTTTTTTGCTCCTATTTTCGTTTATAATTCGGAAAATATTGATCCTAGAGAAAAAATTATAAAAAGTTAAAAGTTTCGTTATTTAATTTTACATAATATGTCGTTAGCTAGAAATTGAAAATTTAATGTTTATTGTTGAAAAAATAGCAATAATTGGAAAAAAGTACAAAAAAATGAAGTTAATCCTTTAAATGTGTTCGACTTTTTAAACTTGACTTACAAGCTCCATATTCTGCCTAGAAAAACTTTTTAATATGTTTAAAACGTGTGCTAAATTTTGTTATGATCGGTCGGATAGGTTTTGCATAATAATTGTGCAATCCAGCCTACTGGAAAAAAATCGCAAATTTTCAAATTTATAGTAGGCCCTAAATAAGGCCCTCAGATAGTTGCAATTTTTTTACATATAAAGGAAGGCTCAAACTTCCAAACGCTTTTGTAAAATTCAAATCGGTTCACTAGGAGAGCCTAGAAATATTCTCAGATATATTCTCAAATCAAATAATCTCATTATTATAATAAAGCTACAGAAACTAATTATTTTAAAAAGTTTGATTTTTACAAAAAAAAAAAAAATCGTTCGCCTTTGTTTTAACAATTCAAATTACTGTTATTATATATTGTTACTTTTAGTAAACAAATATGTATTTATAAATTGTTAATAAATAATTTGAATTGTTAAAACAAAGGCGAAAGAATTTTTTTTTTTTTGTAAAAATCAAACTTTTTAAAATAATTAATTTCTGCAGTTTTCTCATAATAATGACATTATTTGATTTGAGAATATATTTTGATTCGAAAATGATATGTTTAAAGCTCGTAAAATTATTCAATTTGTTTATAAGCCTAAAAAATGTTTAAAACTTTAAAAAAATTCTAGGCTCTCCTAGTGAACCGATTTGAATTTTACAAAAGCGTTTGGAAGTTTGAGCCTGCCTTTATATGTAAAAAAAATTGCAACTATCTGAGGGCCTTATTTAGGGCCTACTATAAATTTGAAAATTTGCGATTTTTTTCCAGTAGGCTGGATTGCACAATTATTATGCAAAACCTATCCGACCGATCTTAAAAAAATTTAGCACACGTTTTAAACATATTAAAAAATTTTTCTAGGCGGAATATGGAGCTTGTAAGTCAAGTTTAGAAAGTCAAAAACATTTAAAGGATTAACTTCATTTTTTTGTACTTTTTTTTCCAATTATTGCTATTTTTTCAACAATAAACATTAAATTTTCAATTTCTAGCTAACGAAATATTGTGTAAAATTGAATTATGTAACTTTTAACTTCTTATAATTTTTTCTCTAGGATCAATATTTTCCGAATTATAAACAAAAATAGGAGCAAAAAAATGAAAAATTTTTAATTGTTGTCAGATTTTGTTAAATAAAAAATTTAGCACAGGGTTTGCGACTGGCGCATATCGTGATTATCGATATTGGGCACATCCTGAAGGAATTAGTAGTACAAATGACTAGTAGTACAATATGGACTTGAACACTTAAGCAAGAACACATAAGTGTGGAATAGCATATACAGAGAAAAAAATCAACTCAACACAAACAGAAGTATTGCGGGAGATGGGCAAGGCATATGAAATAGTAAACATGATACGAGGGTTGTCTTTTTACTTTGCATATAACCATAAAGACAAACAATATATAGACTTAAAAGTATTTTATTGATTTTCAAAATATGTCGCCAGATCGATACACTTTTGCATATGTTCAAACCAATTGGTAAAACAGTTATTCCAGTCCTCAATTGGCACCTGCAAAATCGCTGTTTTAAAGGCATCGATGGCTTCTTCTGGCGCGTGGAATTGCTGCACCCGCATTGAATTCATGATCTTTGGGAACGTGAAGAAGTCGTTGGGACTTAAATCGGAGCTATACAGTGGATGGTTTAACAATTCGATGTTTTGAAGCTCCAAAAACTCTATAGTCTTTTGGGCAGTGTGAGCACTTGCATTGTCCTGATAGGATGAGTCTATGTAGTGTGTTCCTTTGTCGAAGTTTCGCGATAACTTCTAGTTCAAACGGTTATATACCGATCAGAAGTAACTGTTCTTCTATCTTCTAAAGCAATTGTTGCCATATGACCAGATTTTGATACAAAAGTTGCGACCATTTTCTTTCGTGAACGAAGTGTGTCAACTTTTGTTTTGAGAATTACTTTTGTTTGTTTTTCCTCATCGTAAAATATCCACACAGCGGTTTGGCGTTTATTTCCGGTTCGTAGGAATAAATCCAAGATTCATCGCCACTAAAATTACTATAAACGTTTTTTGAGAGCTTCCTTTGTTGAACCGTTTCAATGTTTTTCGACACCAATTGACGCGAACCACTTTTTGCTCTTTTATGAGCAAATGAGGGATCCGACGGAAAACCAACTTCGTAACACCCAGTTTTTTATGTAGGATCTTCTGGATCGAGGTTTTTGAAATGCCCAAAGATGCCTATATTTCCCGGTATGTTACACGGCGGTCATCCTTAATTAGCTGACCTGGGTTTGATTTCTCGCTGAGACTAGAGCGACCACGTTGAAATTCAGAATACCAGCGGGAAATAGTTGACAGAAGTGTGATGCTTGCTACCGACTTGCTAATTTCAAAAATTCACTGTATCTACACGATGCTGATTGATGTTACACTTGTGTCAGAAGGTTTTACTAGTGGCGCCTTCTAAGCGGCTATATGCAATACTAAAAAGACAAATTTCGTACGATAAATGTAGTGATATGAAATGCCCAGATTGATGATATAGGGAAAATAGCAAGACCAAGGAGTATTGGAAGAAGAAGAGTATTATGGTTGAAAAATTTAACGAACTGCTGTAAATATAGTTCAATAAAACTTTGTCGAGCAACGGTAGAGTGAAGATAGTGTTAAAGAACTATCTTAAAAATCTAACAATGACTGAATCCATAGAGTATTCTCCATGTAAGGTTACCAAAACAATTAACACATCCCACCTCTTAAATCCTACAATTCATAAAGAAAACGAAAATTGTTCTAGAACAAATCAAGAAACTACTGAAACTGCTAGCTCCTTGACCAGAGTTCCTCACCTACATTCATATGGATTTCCTTTTGGATTTGAAAATCTTGTATCTACTTGAATTACCGCTTAAAATTTTTGAAATGAATGTTAACGAAGCCACCAACAAGTAAATTAACTCAAAGAAGTGTCCTTGTTTAGATCTTATTATAATACAAACTCAGTATCGGCTATAGCTCATCAGCCAAAATACTAAGCCAAAGTAGATTGCCAGTACGAGTTTGATTCTCGGCACCAACAACGGCATTTTTATTTCTAAAAATTATAAGGAGCCGTCACCGTTCTTCGGAAGGCACGTAAAACAGTCGGTTCCCTTCAGCTAGTGTACATCGACACTAGTTACCTGAAACTAAAGCCTAAAATTAAAGATGAAGCTATGTTTATTTATTTATTTTTGTAATTCATTTGTTATTATTATTATTATTATTAATGCAAGCATTTTAGTATCTAAAACTTTAATCTATATCATCATCATCATCATTGGCTCCTTCCCATGGTGGATCTTGGCCTGCTCAAGAATAAGTCTCCATTCTCTCCTATTCTTCGCCTTGACTTTCCAGTTTCGTACTCCCAACATTCTCAACTCTTCCTACACCTGATCCTTAAATCGTGCTCTGGGTCTGCCTCTCCTTCTCACTCCATCTATTCTTTGATTATAAATATGTTTTGGCGGCTCCATCTTATTCATTCTCTCTATGTGACCTAACCACAGCAGCTGGTTTAATCAGGTTTGTCATACAAGCTATAAAGTTCGAAATTATAGCGTCTGTGCCATAATCCGTCCTCCTGTACTCCTCCATAGATATCATCATCATTTTTGGCTCGACAATCCTCTGTGGATCTTGGCCTGCTCTAAGATTCATCGCCATTCTGTTCGGTTTCTGGCAACATGTTGCCATTTTCTGATTTTTAATATCCGTAAGTCGGTTTCAACTCCATCTAACCACCTAATTCGCGGTCGGCCTTTATTTCTTCTTCCTACAGGTGTTCCTGTGGTTAGCTTTTTAGCAATCGTATTTTCTGGCATTCGTATTATGTGTCCAGCCCATCTAAGTCGCTGTGTTTTAATGAACGTTATGACATCTGCCTCATCACCTCTACAGATATGTCGGAGGATTTTACGCTCAAAGCATCTTAAACGTTCTTCATCGCTCTTTGTCATCGTCCATGTTTCCGACGCGTATGTGAGGATGGGCTTGATAAGAGTTCTGTATATCACTAGTTTCGTTCTTTTTGTAACTAGGCTTGTTGTTAAATTTTTTTAATCCATAATAGGTTCTATTTGCCAGATATATGCGTCTGTTAATTTCTGCACTTACTGCATTATTCTGATTAATTTATGAGCCTAGGTATATTAACTCTCTTACTCCTTCGAAAGTATATGTTCCGATCGTTAGATCTTTGGGTTGTGCTGCTTGTATATAACTTTAATCTATATACTTCCAACTAATGCCAAAGTTTTACTTATTCCCAAACCCGAAAAACCTTTGAGCAACATCACCTCATGCAGACCAATTAGTTTTCTGCTAATTCCAGTTAAATTAATTTAAAAAATCGACTCCAAAAATTAAAACCCGTATTAGAAAGGATTCCTCCATACTACAACATACAACTGCAGAACAAATTACTCAAGTAACAAAATGATATTAGAAATCCTACCATCTTACCTACAACATCTAGCTGAGCACGAGGAATCCTAGTTCAGACAGAAGTTCTCTAGGGCAGTGTACTTGGTCCCGTCCAAGTACACTGCCCTAGAGGAGATACAGGAAACCCCAACAATTATAGATGTATAAATCTACTGAACACCGCATTTAAGCTTATCACAAAAGTCCTAACCAACAAAATCATATACTAACAACTTTATCAGATGAATAACAAAGATTCAGATCCGAAAGATCCTGCGTAGACGCCGTATTTATACTAAGACAAATCACAGAAAAGGCCATCGAGTATCTTATGTTTTATAGACCTGACAAAGGCTTGCGATCGCGTTCAAGTCGAAGATGTCTTACACCTACTGTATCAAAGAAACATACCAATCAATATTATACAAACCATCGAAAACATCTACTTCCATAATCGAATACAGGCAAAGATAAATGGAAAACTAACACAGTGTATACCAGTACAAAGCAGAGTCAGACAGAGTGAGTCGTTAAGCTCACTTCTCTTTAATATAATAATGGATGAAATAATACAAGCAGTACGTAAAGGAGATGGTTACAGAATGGGGAACAAAGAAATCCAGATATTATGTTATGCAGACAATGCCGCATTAATCGCCAAGACAGAAGACGAGCTCCAAAGATTAACACAAATCTTCAATAGAACAGCTATACGATGTAAATTCGAAATTGATGGGAAAATAATAAAGCAGGAAGCAAGGTTTAGATATCTGGGAATAGATATAACTAATTACGGAGATGTTGAAGAAGTAGTACGACAACAAAGCTTAAATGCAAGTAAAGCGGTGGGATCTCTTAATGGCACAATCTGAAAGAACAAACACCTAAGATAAACACAAAAACAATAATCTTTAAAGCAGCAATTAGACCTATATGATCATAGACGGCGGAGACAACATCTGACACATTTAAAACGAGACAACTACTAGAAACAACAGATGAAAATACTTCGACGAATATCAGGAAAATCTGTTGAATAGGAAGACATACGAAAACATAAAAATAATATATAGATAGAACATATATAGAGACGTAAATGGATGGGTGACAAAACGGAAACAATAGTGGAACAAACACATGGATATAATAGTATGATTAGTACGAGACAAGTCACAAAATGGACGAAGAAGAATTGGCAGACCAAGAAAAAGATGGTGCGATAATTTAAACAATTTAGGAGGCTAATATTGAAGAAGAAACAGGCTTTAAAGCGTACATACAAGAAGGAAGAAGGAGAAGAAGCTTTTATTTTGGTTGCGTCTTTTCTATTTATTACCCAAAGCTCTGAATAATATGTAGCAATGCTGTACAATTTATGATCTCCAATTTTAACACCCATAAGTTCACATTTTCTTTTCCAAATATCTAGCACACCCTTCAAATAAATCTTGAAGAGCGTAGGTGCAATGCAGCAGAGTTGGCGAAATCCTTTGGCCACCTTTATTTGTTTTTCCTCTTTTTGTCCAGTCTTTTTTAAATAACCTAACTTAAATAACTTCTATAACGTTAGCTGCTGCCAGTTTTTTTTTAATATCGTTTTATCTTTAATTAAAAAAATATTATACCAAAAATTGTAGTAATATGCAAAAGATGATTTTATATGTGCACTGACTATAACTTATCTTTCAGATGGAATCATCAGCCCAAGAAATCCACAAATCTCTGAATACGATTTTGGATTACCAAACACATCATCGGTTACGAGAAGCCCAAGGCAGGAAACGCGCCGAAGAACTGAACGAAAGGGTGCTCTGGTGGTCAATCATGGAAACTTTGGCAGTTATTACTATTGCTTTCGGGCAGGTATTCGTTTTGAAGAACTTTTTCACGGAAAAGAAACCTTACACGCAATTCAAATAAACTTTGTGACCTAAACCATTTTGTACCTTTTTCTTCTTTAATATATTTATAAATTTTGGGATTTGAATTATGATTTGACGTATGTATTTAGAGATTAAAGAACTGGACAAATGATCTTACACATTTTTAGTTTTTATCGGAGAATTATTTTTAATTCATGCATGAAATAGTTAGACCTAATATTAAGACAGTTTAGGCTAGTTCCAAATTAGCTTTACACGGTAGTAAATCTCTAAACATTATAGAGTCATGTTACTTTCTACATATACTACTCAAACCATTTAGTGTATTGTGTAAGCATCAAAGACTCCCGTCTTGGACTTTCTACTCGATATTTTGATTAATATATCTTGGAAAACTTGACTATATATTATCACACAGTCTTCCTTTCCTTAAGATTATTAAACAAATACTGTAAAAATTTGCACATTAAAAATATTAGATCACAGTCATACGCCTTCTTGACAAATATTTGCAATGTTTCCTTGAAGGAAAACGAGGAATTGTAATTTAAATACGGGGGCGGTCCTAATAAGTACTTAGCCTACAAAACAAAAATATTTTTGGAAAAGATAGGACAATCTTCGCCTTCTGTGGAGTACGTTCGCAAGGTGCAATCCACTGTTTTGACTGTTTCTTGGTCTCTGGTGTGTACTAGTGAATTCATGTTTCGTCGCGGTCACGAAATAACCCAGATATTCCTTCTGATTGTTGTTCAGAGTGAGCAAACGCGGCCCCCATCATGTAGACAGTTTTCGCATGCCCAAAGTTTCATGAACGATATGATCCACGCGGTCTTTTGAAATGCCTACTGTTTCAACTATTTCGTGCACCTTTAATCTGATGTAGTGGATTTTTGTCACTTTATTCTCCTTCGTAGTCGTTTTCGGGGTACCTGGACGTCGCTCTTTGATTTCGCTGCGCGATTTCTCTTTCAAAAACAACGACCGATATTGCTCTCTTTTGCATTTGCCTAAAATTTTGCTGATATTTTGAAGTAGCCACCTACGAAAATGTACTACACAATAGTAAATTTTTCTTACTATAGTAGCGCCATTGGGCGGTGAGGCTAAGTACTTATCAGACCGCCCTTTATACACCTATAGAATGTAATTTTATATTCCTTCAATTTAAAAACAATATAGAAATGCATAAAATTCCACAAAAGTATATTCTTACATGAAAATTATTATGATTTGAAAATTATTATTATTATGAAAGTGAAGTTAAAATGTAATATTTATATTATGATTTAAAAATATGGTCAGTATACATATTCCCTTTTGTACATTTACTGTAGCATATATTTCTTTATTTTATTTTATTTGGTTTCTACACTCATGGACAAAAATATCGAATATTTTGGAATTTTCTATTTTTTTTTTGAAAATTTGTCTGGGCGTTTAGGCTTTAAGTTTTATTCTTTTAATCTTCATCTAACTGTTTTTAAAATCCACATTAACTTGTCTAGCGTATAAAATTTAGTAGCTTATTTCTTAGGTGCCTGTTTCTTAGGCCTGTTTAACAGGCCATGTAGTAAGAACCAAAAAACGGTCATCAATTAGGGATGTGCACTATGGGTGTCCTTGACCAGGCTTTCGTACAAAATTTCCTGCCTGGTGGTACCTTTTTAAAGTATTCGAAACTGTATATTGACTTCTCTAAACGTCGTGCGATATCTTTTTGCTTAATACAAAATTAGAATATCTGCTACTTGGACTTCATCGCAATGTAGAATTGGTCTCATACGTGTTTTAAACTTAGTTAAATCGAAACAATATTTAATTAAACTTAATAAATTAAAATAAAAAATAACCGAAGTACTATGGTTTTTCATTTACGCGAGGAAGGTTTTTTATGATAAATAAATGTCAAAATATTTCAATCCAACTGAGTACATCAGCCTATTATCTGACCAACATCAGTAATCTTAAATTATTTTGAAATAATAGTGCCTACAAAAAAATTGGAAAATTCCAAAATATTCGAAATTGTTGTCCGTGAGTGTACTATAATAAAAACAAATCTGATGCCCTTGAACGAATCTTCATATGTGAATTTTATTTTATGCTTTTGCTGCAATTTGTGGTATAAAAAGTAAAAAATATTTACTAATCAAGTTTTCTTATTAGATGGTCGAACGTAATTTCCAAAATTCAAATAGCATTGCGTGTTTTAAAGACACTCTTACAACCTTTTTAGAGATAAAGTAAAAGAATATAAGCTCAAAGGAAGTAAAAATTCATTGACGATTAAATCTGTTGTCTACGTAAATAACAATGAAGAGTATTTTCATGTGTTACCTTTGGGTAGAGGTACACTAATACTTGCCCAGGTTTTTTTTAAATTAGTTATAGTAGCTTATTACAGAAGAATTAGTTCAAAGTGTGTCTCGTCGTGATGCAGAATGACGTGGGTTCGATTCCAAATAAAAACAGAAAACCTAAAAGTATTGAGATCGTCTTGTCGAAGGTAATGACAAACCACGACCTGTTTTGTTTCACCAAGTCTAAAGTTCGAGTGGGTCCTTTTGTAACATATCTAATATATTAAAGAAGCATGATGTAGGTTTCGTTGAAATGGTTGAGATATGCATATAAACAGTACATTTCAATAATGAGGCATTTTTATCGTAATGATTATTGATACTTTTATATCAATGGATGGGCTCAATCATGTAAATTTAATTAAATAAATGTAATTCCAAAGTAGGTCATCCCAACGATAAAACTTTCTAGACAGTCCACACACTTCCCTTAGCTCTGACACACTACACAGTTGTCTAAAATAACAATGGGAGATATAGTTGATTCTACAACATTAAAGCATATTTATCTAACAAACTGTTTTATCCATTATTTTGAGAAATTAGTTTAAAGAAAAAAAACGTTTTAACGTTTTAAAGAATTTTTTATCGAACTCTAGTTAAGAGATTATTACAGCTGGAATCTATGCACCGACAAGAAAAAGCGCGCCTAAACCATTACACGTAAACAGATCCTGATTTCGACACCGCACCGTCGGAAATATGATCGTCCGGTGTCATGCATTTGGCGTACTTTTTTATGGCTGTGAGTATACTATAGTCATGAAAATGCCTCATTATGGAACAAACCAGTGTAAGTCAGACATAGAATGTTCTTAATTTTGGGTTGTCTATAAGTTGTAAATATTATATTTTTTTAAAGTCTGCCGTAACGGGTATAGTATTGCTATTTGGCGTGACAAGTTTCAACGTACTTTTCTTTTAAACAGTGTTTTGTCATTCCATTGTTGTTGTTTTTTGTGTTTAAATTCATTGTGAAAAGAATTTATACTTAAATATTAAAAATTAATATATACATGTTGTAGTTTTTATTAATTAATTAGTTTCGATAGAAATAACGAGAATTACAGATGAATAACAAATTTAAAGTGGGAAACATCAAAACCAACATACATAAGGCTTCACACAAAGTTCTAGGGCAAAAAGGACACAAGCAAAGAAAAGTTGGTTACAGTGGAAATTCTAGACATGATGGAAGAACAATAAATTTAAAATGGAATAAAGATAATACAAAATAATTAATAGAAGAACTGAAAGGAAAATAAAAGAGAGATAAAAAATCTAGATAGTTTAACATTACGAAGAATTAGAACTGCTACCTTTAAAACACGACTCCTTCAACTTGCATAAAAAACTTTCGTTTGGGAAGCCAAACACTTCAAAAATAACAACATTGTATTTGACCAAAGGTTGGATTGTCTACAGGGTTGAAAGTGACGAAGAAATTTCGACCAGATTATAAGAATAGAATAGAGAATTGATCAAAATAAGAAAGTCCATTACTTCGGCCTTGAAATAACAGGAGCTAAATATCGCTTAGTCCAGTTGATCATTATCGCTTACTCCAGTTTCTTTCTACTTTCGTTAGTATTGTTGTTTGTTTGTGTTTAAATGACTGCGGACACTAAATCCATTCGCCAGTCTTACAATGAGTACAAATTGTAAGATAGGCGAATGGATTTAGTGTCCGCAGCCATTTAAACACAAACAACAATACTAACGAAAGTAGAAATCTCAATAAAGTATGATTCCAGTTTTGACCGGCATAGTTGTTAGAGAATACGTCAAGATGTTTCACATCAGTAGGCACTCACAGACTTGATATAATTCATAAGAAATGAAGCAACTTCGTTGGGATCCTTTCGTGGTAGGTGTAAAACACCCCTTGACTTCTGTATATTGAGAATTCCAAAGACGTTGTTGGTTAGTTGACGTAAATAAAAAGTCTCCTGCACAGGAATAAGTGAAAATTGAAGATTTTGCATATAGTCAAACGTCAGGACACATACACTGGCATATGTCTTGCATATTTCTGTAATTTCATTGTAGAACTTCTTTGCACGTCTTTTCTCTCCAATGGCGCTACAGCCAAAGTCGAGTCTTGGTCTCCTCCCAACTATGTCTCCAACCTTGCCAGTCCCGCGTCGATCTTTTCCAGGTTTTCACGTCTAGCAAATTTTACGCGTCTGCTGTCACTTCATCCTCCCACCTTTTCCGTGGCCTTCTTTGGCCACCTTTCCGTGGCCTGTAGGGCTTTTTTTGGCAACCTTCTGGTCTCCATTCTTACTACATGATCAGCCCATCGAAGTCTCTGAAGTTTAACGAATTCTAAGATCGGTGTCTCTTAGAACGGTTAGTATTTTCCTTAGTACTTTTCGATCGAAGGCTTCCAGCTTCCGTTTTGTGTCTTCTGTCATCACCCATGTGTCGCATCCATAACATACTATTGGTCTGATAATAGTCTTGTAGACCCTGATTTTCGATCTCCAATGTGTGTTTTTGGAGCGGAACACATGGGCGAGTGAAAAGTAAGCTTTGTTTCCCTTTGAATTTCTGTTCCATCCGTGTTTAATGTAACTCCCAGATATGGGAAACTTTCTATAGTTTCAATATTGTCCTCTAATTCAACTGTGCCTCTGTTTCCCCTATCTCTTGAATGTGTTAGTTTTTTTTGTCTTTTGAATATTTATTTCTAGTCCAGTCTCTTCTGCCTCCGTTTTTAATTTTTAATAA